ATTTAGGACAAAATGTATTCTGCTACATGTCGTTGCTAAAAAAAAAAAAAAAAAAAAACCTGTAAATTAATTGGTTTACATTAAAGTTATAGCATATACAAATGGTGGTATAGATACTGTGATTTTTATTTAATTTTTTTTCCCTACTAGTAATGGCGGCGATCAGCGACTTTTAGCGGGACTGTGGTGGGCATTCTGACGCTGGGGGGAACTAACTTGGTGTCACTGACATCCCCAGTGATACCAATAAAGTGATCAGTGCTAAAATAACAGCACTTACACTGCACTAATGACACTGGGCAGGAAGGGGTTAATCTGAGGGACAATCAAAGGGTTAACTGTGTAGGGAGTGTTTTTACTAGGGGGCAGGGGTGTGTGTGCTTCACTGTAAGCACACTGATCAGGATGGCTGTGCTGTGCTGTGCACAGTCATCCCGAGCAGTGTGATCGAGCGGACAGGGAGGAACAGCTTTCCTCCCCGTCAGTGATTGTCGGTAATCACCGGGCGCCAGAGGGTAATCATCGGCCGGGACCCGGTGATTGACAGGTGTTAACAGCGGTATGGGTAGTGTGCTCGCAGGTGCCCCCCTACCTGAAAAATGCAAAATCACGTGTGTATATATACGTGATTTTGCACACCCGTGCCGCCGTGTAGCAGTATATCTGCTATACTGTGGCGGGTAAGCGGTTATCGTCGGTTTTATTTATTTTTAAATGACATGGAAAGCTGGGCCCTGCCATGGGGAACATGTACCAATGCAAAAAAAAAAATACTGTTCTGTATGGAGCTGGTATTTTAATGTGACTAAAATAACAACATTACAAATACACAGTTCCTCATTAGAGAAATATTAAAATTTTTTGCACACGTTTTAGTCTGCATTTTTGGCTATAAATTCCTTCTACTGACACCAACAATGAGGTACCATTCTTTCCAATGGTGGGGCATATTTCCTCTCACGGACACAAACGGTGAGGCCCTTTTCATTCCACTGACCCCAACAGTGGGGCATACTTCCACTGATATAAAAGTTCTCCCACTGATGCCAACAGTAAGGCACTATTCCTTCCACTGACACCAAAGATTGGGCAGTAGTCCTTTCACAGACACAAGCGATGGGGCATTATTCCTCCCACAGGCACCAACGGCAGGGCACCATTTCTTCCACTGACACCAATGTTGGAGGAACTATTCCTTTCACTGACACCAGCGTTGAGTCACTATTCCTCCCACTAATACCAACGATGAAACAATATTACTCCATTCAACACCAATGGTGGGGGCGCTATTCCACCTTCTATTGACCATAGGCACTTTTGTAATTTATTTTACTCTCACTGACTACCAAGCCCGAGGCAGTTTCTATTCCCACTGGCCACAGTCCAGCCCTCCTATATTCTGAAGGATAATAAACTGGCCCTTTTGTTTAGGAAATTTGGAGGCCCCTGCCCTAGTGATTCATCAAACTAGGAATTTTATTTTTAAAGCTGAATACCAGGTATGTTTTCATGCATAATTACAGTGGTCCAGCCGAACTAATGCATTAGAAGTATACATATTTCAAACCTGTCCAATCCCTGAGGGACATCACTGATTGGGATGAGGTGTAGATTGTGCGGTCACCACCCTGCCTCTCCTCCTTGTCCAATCAAAGAAGAATTTGCATTCTATAAGAAAATGCAGGGCATTCCTTGAATAGCACCTGTGCTGAGCAAGAGACCTACCATGGTTACTATGCAGCAGGGCAATCTCTCAGAACAGTGCTCAGAAGACAAGGATCATTGTAGTAACAATGACTGCTACAGTGATTGTCTGCCTCCACAATACTGCTCCTCCATTGTAGGGGTGCACCGAAACATTTCGGCCAAAAACACCCCTATCGGCTGTTTGCTGATATGAAAAATAGCACCAATATAGGTGTTGAAAAAACCCCGCCCCCTCGCCGCTGCCGCCACCAGCCACTGCACGGTAGTTCTCAGCCTTAACTGAGAAACCATTGAACGATCCTGGTTCTTGGCATAGAGATTAGTGAAGGAAAGATGGCCTCCACTCATCTCTATGCCCTTGGAGGACCAGAGCGGTCACTTTTTTTTTTTTAAAGCACTAGATTGATGCTTTTTTGATCCAATGCTTTACATTGCAGAGGAGAGATATGGAGTTTTTATTGACTCCATATCTCTCCCATAACGAGGACCTGTCACTACTTATTTCTATCACAAGGGATGCATGCATTCCTTGTGATAAGAATAAGTGATTACAATTTTTATTTAAAGGGACAGTGCGAAAAAAAAAAACAAACATTAAATAATAAGTTTAAAGTGCCCCCCCCCCCCCCCCCTGCTCACACATAGTGGTGAATGCATACATAGGCCACACTCACATATGTAAACAGTGTTCAAACCACACACATGAGGTATCGCCATGAACGTCGGGGCAAGAGCAATAATTCTCACACTAGACCTCTGTAACTTTACACTGCTAACCTGTAGACGTTTTTAAAGCATCACCCATGGAGATTTTTAAGTAGCGCAGTTTGACGCCATTCCACGAGCGTGCGCAGTTTTTTAAAGCGTGACATGTTTGGTATCTATTTACTCGCCGTAACATCCTCCTGCATATTTTACAAAATTGGGGTATATATTGTTTTTTGTTTCTTTTTTTTCATTAAAGTGTGTAGTTTTTTTTGTTTTTTTTATATATATATATGTGTGTGTGTGTGTGTATATGTGTATATATATATATGTATATATATATATATATATATATATATATATATATATATATATATATATATATATATATATATATATTCATATTTAAAAACTGTGCATTTCTGTTTTCGGCCAAGTGCATTTTGAATGTTCGGTTTCGGCACCAGAATTTTAATTTCGGTGCACCACTACTCCATAGACAGGTGTTGTCACCCTACAGCAGGGATTGTTACTGGCAGGATCATCAGGTGAAAATAAAGCAAAAAAAAAAAATGCATTACATTTTGTCTTTGGGTTCCTGTTGGCTTTGCGGTTTCTGGGTTTTGTAACGTTACTAGGTCCTTGTTCCAACCCGTGCGTGTATTTGCAGCAGAGTTGCCCTGTTTTACTGTGAATCTGAGAATGTTCAGTCTGTACTCTGGTTGAAGAGCTCCTGGTAACAAAAGCCATTAGTGAGGCTTTCTGTAGTTACACATTCATGTAAAGCGGATGGCTCTGGGTTTTTCTTGTAGGGGGAGGTGCTGAGCCTGGGCTAGTCCCATGGTGGAATGCTTTTGAACTTGAGTTGCAAAATACAAAGCATGAAATGGAGCATGTGTTGATGTACAGCTGAGAGCTGTGCTGATGTGCCTGTTTTCTCACATTCCATCCCCCCTCCTCCTCTGTCCCCCACCATCACCGGCCAACCTGCCGCTTCTTGGCATACTTGGTGATCCCTGAAAGAAATGGGGGTACCTGCCATTGCTGACTGAAACCATAGTCCCTGACAAGCTGGATTTGGTTTAAATCAAGTTTATTTAAATCACTAGTGAAAAGGTTCAATTTAAATCATAATTTTCAAAGAGCAGCTGTCATCTCTGTCCCACAACGGCTCCTCTGACCTGCTGTTGACTCACCGACAGTCCCATTCACTTTAATGATGATGCTGCGGTGATACAAGGTGAGTCATGTGACGGCAGCAGGTGAGTGGATGCCCGCTAACAGCCGCTGCCATGATGGATGGATCTGAAATGACAGGTGCTCTTTAGATGTAAGGAATCTGACTCATTCTTGCTGGTATTTAGAATCTTTAATATTTGCAAACCAAGTGAAGGTTTGCTTTTTTAGAATTATAAGCTGTCAGGTTAGTAAAACAGTGATATCAGAACCGATTTTAGGTTAATAGGTTAATCGCACATAGTTGAACTACTCAGATTCTTTTATTTCATGTTTTTTTTTTTTTTTTCCTCATGGTTACTGTGAAATTGTGTGAATGCATCAATGCAGTGCATGTCATCTCAGCTTGCAGAGCTTGGATTCATTGAGTGAGTTTTCCAAACATGCAAATATTATAGAATGTACAGCCTGCAACATAACTAAGCTCCATTTCATGCTGAATAAACTAAATTAATGTATTTTAAATAGAAAACCATCTTTAAATAGATTTTTACTCCAAAAGCATTTTATTAAAATACATTTGATTTAAAAATCTAAATCAATAGATTTTTATTAATAGATAAATAACAATCCGATTTAAATTAAAAAAAAAAAAAATCCGTTTTTTTTTTTTTTTTTTTTTTTTTTTTTTTTTTTTTTTTTTTAAATCCACCCTGGTCCCTGACCTGGAAGAAACATGGAAATTGAAAAAAAAAAAAAAAGTGAAGTCAGAACTCATGATCTGCATATTTGGTTAGTACTAAAGTCAATTGAGTCGATTAGTATGAAGGTTACTACTTTAGTTTTTTTTGGGCAGAGATCTTGCTTTACCCTGATGTGTGTTCTCCATTGCTAATTGGAAGCCTCAAATGTGACGAAGGAATGTGATCAGTTCCTTTTAAGGAGTGGGGGGGGGACATGTGATTCCAATGAAAGCAATGCATAAGACTGAAAATTGCGGAGCTTGCAGCAACAGCTAGAGAAACTCAGGTTGCCCAACCATTGATGAATACAAGATGTGATTTGGTTTAAAGGACATACTGCCGAAATATGAATGTATTTTAGTAATATGGTGCAGATAAAAGTAACCAATAAAGTGGTTCTAAAGGTTCAAATTTTTTTTTCTTTAACCGCTAGCCTACAGAGCACTTATACCCCCTTCCTGCCCAGGCCAATTTACAGCTTTCAGCGCTGTCACACTTTGAATGACAATTGCGCGGTCATGCAACACTGTACCCATATGAAATTTTTATCATTTTTTTGAGACAGAGCTTTCTTTTGGTGGTATTTAATCACATCTGGGATTTTTATTTTTTCTTAAACTAAAAACCACTGAAAATATTGAAGAAAAAAATGTTTTTTCTTAGTTTTTGTTATACAATTTTGTAAATAAGTGATTTTTTTCCTTCACTGATGTGCTCTAATGAGGCTGCAGTGATGGGCACTGATAGGCTGCACTGATGGGCACTGATGAGGAGGCACTGGTAGATTGCACTGATGGGCATTGACAGGCATCACTGCGGGCATGATGCGTGACATTGAAAGGCAGCTCAGATGGGCACTTATATGTGGCATTGATATGCACTGATATGTGGCACTGACTGGCACTGACAGGTGGCACTGATGAGCACTGACAGGTGGCACTTCTCGGGCCACACTGATCATCAGGGCACACTGATAATCAGTGCCCTGATGATCGGTGTACATGTCCCCCCCTATCCGCGGAAAGCCGATTACCGGCTCTCCTCTCGAGCTGTCGGCGTGACCGCTCAAGAGGAGAGAAATGCCGATAACCGGCATTTCCGTGTTTACATGTGATCAGCTGTGATTGGACACAACTGATCACATGACCGAGCCAACATCTTTGGCTCTTTCCGTGATCCGCTGTGACCGAGGGACACAGCGCACCGGTGATTGCTGTGCGCTCCCTGAGCCGCGCATGCCCCTGAGCCGCGCATGTGCAGTGAGAATGATAGAATGTCATATGATGTCCTATCAGAACAAGAGAACCACCTTGCACCCATCGTACTATAGGGCGGGCGGAAGGTGGTTAAAATAAACACTTATCTGCTCTCTGCAATGGTTTTGTACAGAGCAGCCTCGATCCTCTTCTCTGGTCCTCTGCCAGCGCTTCTGGCCTCTCTCCTATGCCAAGTACATAAAAAAAATCACTACATGCTTTTCTGCAGCATCTCCATTGAACTCCATAGAACCAATAATGTAACATTTTGCGTTTTAAAAAAAGTCCCTGACCATTTTCAAAAAACACACTTGGAGAAAATGTGGAGATTTGAACTTGTCCCATAGGAAAACTCAACAGAAAACGCATAGATATTTATTTCAGATACTTACAGCACCATCAATTTACGCAGCTCTTTACATATATATTGTACATTCATATCAGTCCCTAACCCTCAAGGGGTGTACAATCTAAGGTCCCTAACTCACATTCATACATACACATACTAGGGACAATTTAGACAGGATCCAATTGACCTACCAGCATGTCTTTGGAGTGTGGGAGGAAACCCGAGTACCCGGAGGAAACCCACGCAGGTACATGGAGAACATGTAATATGAACCTAAAGGCTGAAGGTTTTTTACCTTCATGCATTCTATGCACTAAGGTAAAAAAAACCTTCAGTGTGCAGCATCCCCCCCACAGCCCATATCCCATGCACGAATGTACAAAACACCTTCAACCTTTAGAACCCTTTAAATATTAACTTCAAGATTTCTGAGCTGCATGTGGTCAAATGTATTTATAGTATACAGAGTTTGCATGCAAGGAGAACAAAACATAATTTTTCATGTTTCTACATGCAGTATTTACCTCCGTTTGTAAAGGACCCAAAGCTGTGGATTTCAGTGTCCTGTCCTTACACCGCTTGTAGCATAGCCTGTTGACAAAACCCATGTGCTTGAAATGCATTGGAATTTGAAAGAAACTGCAAAAGCAAGCTGGGACAAAATTTAAAAACTTTACGTGCCTATTCACACTAGAAACTGCACATCTACTGCATGTTTTTCTTTGCACATTTGCATGCATTTGCACATTTTATGCGCATTTGAGTGTAATTTATGCTCATTTGCATGCAGTTGATGCACGTTTTTCTATCTGCATTTGTTCATTGAGGTCACTTCCTCCATTCTTTCCTTCTATGTGAGTTGCAGTGCATTTGCGTGTGTTTTTGCAGTTCGGGAAAAATGCAGCATGTTTTTTTTTGGACTGCTCTGCACTGCAATGGTATGAACTATGCCCATAGGATAGCCTGGGGTTCGGACTGTGCATTTGGAATGCAGTCAAAAATTTGGGGCTTAAAAGTCCAGTTGGAACACACCATTTCCAATAAAGTGACCATGCAGATAATGGGCCTCAGTAGATTAAAACAAACTGATCAGCTCTTAAAAATATTAATTTCTGTAGATGCCATACCCGTAGGCCATTTTCTGACCTCCCGAGGCTTGGCTGAAATACTGCCATCTTTACATTCTCCTTCTAGCTAAACTGTATATTCCCTTTCATTTTGCTGACAGGCCCTGTGCGTCACTTTTAAACTCAGGTGGCTAGAACATTTCTGAAATGTTTCCACTGTTCTTTTATCTTTCACTTAGAGCTTATTTTTCATTTAGAGAAAGCTTGTTAACCTCCCTGGCGGTATTCCCGAGTGTAGCTCGGGGTAAAATTTGAGTACCAAGAGCGGTAACACCGAGCTACACTCGGGCTTACCATGCGGCGTTGCGCAGGGAGTCCCTGCAGCGCTTACCTTGTCCTTTGCTCCCGCGATGTGTCCCCTGCAGCGTTCCCGGCCATCTCCTCCGGCCGATGCTGGCATCCGGCTTCTGTGTTCCGGTCCCTGTGACGTCGGGACGTACGGGCGCCAGAACTGGCGGCAAATTTTTAATTTTTAACAGTCATTTTTTTTAAAATGATTATTACATAGTAAAACATTGCTGTTTCAAACCATTTCACATACATTTTGTCCCAACTGCTTTGTCCTGTGCCCTGCCTGCATTTTGACTGTTCTTTCTGCCTGGAAACTTAGAAAAGTCCATGGCGTCCAAAAAGCGTCCCTTTACATCAAAAGCGGTTTTAGACCAGTTAGAGAACAGCGATAGTAAATCAGAACCACTTGCAGAATTGAGTGATAATGATTCGTGGGGAAATTCGTCATCAGACACTGAAAACGACTTTGCGACTTTGCTCAGCGATGTGCGAATTTGCCTCTGTATTTCAAATTTCAGTGTTTTTGGTTTGATTATATTATTGAATTAAATTTATATTATTTATGATTATTTATTAAATTATAATTTATGATTTCGTGTTTCAAATTTTATCCTGCCCGGGATGTTTACTAGACTTGTTCGTACAGATTTCAGTGAGTTATTCCTAAAAATTACAGCCTACAATAAAAAACAACATATTTCCATGTAAAAAAATGGTACCAATCACCCGCTTTCAGCACAAAAAAATCGGAAATAATACCGCCGAGGAGGTTAAAACCCCGAAATCATACATTTTCTGAAAGCGTAGGATAAGTAAAATACAAAAAAGGTGTTACTAATTATCATTATTAATTTTTTTTTTTTCTTTCTTTTTTAGGTCCTGTGATATTTGTGCAAATGTTTATCAAAATATTTTCACAAAAAAATCACCAATATCATTGTTGGCAGACATGAACAGCAAAACTTACAAAATTCCTGCTAAATTCCCAAAACTGTAAACAAGTAAAATTTGCTCTAAAAATCTGGAAACTGTCATTTTTCACTTTAATGCTTTCAGAGATTTAAAGGACCCCCAAATCATACATTTTCTAAAAACACATGACCTGTAAAATAAAAATAAATAAGTGCTTCTGATTTTTTTAGGTCTTGCAATAGTTGTGCAAGTGTTTATCAAATCACTATTTTTCTATAAAAATACGCTAAAATCATTCTTAGCCGACGCAAACATAACATGGCTTGGTAAATTCCTACTAAGACCTTGTTCACATGGGATGCACTAAAGTTGTATGCCTGTGGAGGACCTGCATTTACCCACACGGGGACGCACAGAAGGGGGTGGGGGGGGGGGGGGTACATTTTGGGTAAATAGCTGCTATAGGTGGCTTGTCAGCTGTTGACCAAAGCTATTGGCTTGTTCAGCAGAGTCAGTTCCGTTATAAGCTCAGTGTCTGTGAAGTGGTTCTGTAGGTCCATTCACTGTATGGACATAACATCGAAATGGTTAAAGTGAACCTTTCCATTTTGGAAATATGTAATTGTTGCGCTCATGCGGGGATCACATGCGAGTTATCCAAGGCAGACTGCTCGCATATGATTGCCGCGTGAGCGATTACATGTGAGTAGCCATGATTGGCTGCGGAAGCCGTCACCTTTTGCATTGCTTTCAATGGGCTGCCTCTTGTAGCTAATCATGGGAACCCTCACTGGGGATCTCCTATCTAATCGTAGTTCAGGTGCGTCCTCAGGTGTGAATGCACCCTGAAAAGGTCCAGTAAACCCTCCCATCAAAACATATTTTTTTCGATCCTACCATGAAGGTGTTTGGTTAGGCACTTCCTGTTATAAAGCGACTTTGTTCTGACCTTGTCTTCCAGTTGTGCTCTGGTAGTGCCACCCTATTACGCAGACTTCCCATTGAGGCAAAAAGTGTCTGTTTCAACACGTCATGCAGACATGATCCACACCTGTCCCCATCAGGAAATACACCCTGAAGAATGCCATTTTGTGATCACTAGAGTGCATGTAGACAGGAAGTGGCTGTAAAAAGGCTGTAGAAGATTGGTAGTAGTGAGATGAAAAAAGATGAAAACAAGTATTTTTAAAAATGGCAGTTTAGGGATCACAGCAGTTAAAACAAACTAAAATGTCATTGAGTTAGTGTTTACATCTACAAGTCCAGGAAGTTGCTGAGTTCTTTTGTGAAAATTACCTGTGAAGATTGTATGTTATGTTAGCCTAGGTATCCTGTTTCAGGCCCTTGGATTAAATGTCTAGTTAGTTTAGAATGGTTTGCATTAGACAGGGACCCCATAGCCATAGATTCAGAAGTATCCCCCCCCCCCTTGGTAACGTATCCTTTTCATCTTTCATGAAGTATGTGTGAAGGGCAGGTGTGTTCACATGAGTAGATGGCATGCTCTGTCATGTTGCCTGTTTTCATGCACTCTGTTTCTGATACTGTTGGATTGGCTCTGAATAGCTAGTGTTTGCACCAGACTGTCTCAGAAATCTTGACATAACTGGTGCTAAGCATCTTCCCAAGCACCAGCTTTAAATTGGGCATTATTACACTGAGATGCAACTTTGGCTGTATTTGCACAGGCATTTAGCCACCATGTGAATTCCAGCGGCAGGAATCTGATTCTTGCTGCTGGGATTGACAGCTGGGTGCAGATAGCAGTGGCTGCTTAGCCTGTACAGTGCAGCAACACCGTTTCTTGTCACTAATGTGAAAGATGAGATTCCCCCCTCACTTCAGGGAAACCTATTCTTCCTGTCATGTCCAGAGGTTGGGAGTGAGGGGAAATCTCACAAGTATGGACCAACACTGGGGGAATAAAGATTATCTCCCACATTATCCCAAACAAAGATTTGGCAAGAATTCAACTTTGAAGGGGGAGAGAGGCATGTGCCTGGGAGGGGGGGATATCGGAGTAGTGACAGACAGCAAAGGGCAAGAAATTTTTCCATGTATGGATCATAGCAAGTGACATAGGACCACCTTTTAATGGTCAAATAACTTTCAAGCTTAGGGGGTTGGTGATTATTAAAAAAAAAAAAAAAATTAACTTTGCAAACATGGTGTACTTACCTGCTCTATGCAATGGCTTTGCACAGAGCAGCCCCAATCCTCTTCTTGGGTCCCCTGCCAGCTGTCTGGGCTCCTCCTCTTCTCAGCTGCTTCCTATGGTGGCACATGTGTGGACTTAATCCTGAGCTATGCTCTGTGTGTCCATTGACACACAGTGTGGTTCAGCCCTGAACCCACCACCCCCCACTGCCTTGTCACTGGGTTTGATTGACAGCAAGTAGGTGCCAACGGCTTCCATTGCTCTCATAAAGTCCAGTGAGGTGTGGGAGAGAGAACAGTGCTGCTGCTCTTGGGCAGACTGCTGGATCGAGATTGGGCTAAGCATTTGAGGGGCTGGGTGAGAGCTGAAAATAGTTTTTTTGCCTTAAATTATTAAAGTAAAAAACCTTTAGCCTTTTACACTACCCCCCCCCCCCTTTTTTTTTGTCATCATTGGAGACCTAGCCTAGTCAGAAATCATTATACTATTTAAAAAGATTTTTTTTTTTTCTGCGGAGCAAAGTGCCTAAAGTAATCTGAAGTAACATTGTACAGTTATCTTTACAATTTAGAGAGAAGTCCGATGGAAATAATTTCTTTTTAATTCTTACCCTCTTTTTTTTGTTTTGTAATTGTAATGTTGTTTGCATTAGACAATTGGCTGGATAAAATGACTTTTCTGTAATACCAGTATTTGTGTTATTGTATCATTCACTCCTTACCAGTTAAAAACAGTGAAAGACTTTGCCATCATCAGCATGTTTCATGAATGCTGCACATGACATACTAAAACATTCAACAAATTATATAGATAATATACTGTATATCGATTGCGCTTTATTATATAATGCTTATCTCCTCTTTCTGCTTACTGTTGATAACTTTTATAGTTGGAATTTCACCTTGCAGTTCTCTAGTGTCATTGTGTTTGTTACCTGTAACCTCAACCCCCCCCATCCCCTTTTCCCCCTTGATCTGGGATTGGTGGCTTTGGGAGGCACCTTTTTTGTGTTGCTCTTTGTTTCATTGGAGAACAAATTTTGCGGTTTACTATACAAGCTGGGTGATTTCTTTTAATGATTTGCTAATTGGAGGTGGCGCAACTGTCTGTTTCAACTTGTCTTCTCAAGGCTGCACTTTTTGTCAGCTACAAAGAGTAATGTCTGTGGCATTTACTTGAGACATAATCCCCATACTGGAGACAAGCCCCATTCTTCAGATACAAGTGATGTTAACACTTTCTATGCATTGTAGCCGGGTCATACTTGGTACTCTCATCTCTGAATGTATATGCTTACTTAACTGTGATGTAGTTTTATAGTTCATGAAGTATCCCCAGACAGCTTTTCTTGAAAGTCACAATACCCAGGGCACACTGTTGTACGGTTATTTGCTTTAAAGTAGTTCCCAAGCCTTAAGGTTTTTTTACTTTAATGTAGTCTGTGCAATAAGGTAAAAACCTTTTGATTCCAGGATTCCCACCCCTTATACTTACTTGATCCTGATCCCGATCCAGCACAACAGTATCCAGCAGATTGGAGGAACCAGGGAAGGCAAAATATAAACCTTAAACTTTGAGGGAACTGTAGCAGGTTGGAATTTTATGAGCACTCGTTTACTTGTGATCTACAAACATTTGTGTATTGCAGTTGTGTATGCCGCCTTTATTTTTGTATCTTTTTTACTGTTGATTGGTTGAAATAATAGTGTCTCCCTTCTTTGACTGGCTTTTACAATGCAATTTTTGTCCTTCAGGTACATGTACTGGACTGACTGGGGTGAAGTGCCAAAGATCGAGCGTGCAGGGATGGATGGGACACAACGATCTGTTATTATAGACGCTGACATTTATTGGCCAAATGGCCTTACTTTGGACTATGAAGAGCAGAAGCTTTACTGGGCTGATGCAAAACTCAGTTTCATCCACAAGTCCAACCTGGATGGCACATTTCGGTAAGTGCTGAGGCTGTATTTATTACAGGACTCTACCGTGTTTTACTATAGAAGTTTGATCAAATGGGTTCTTTTGGGAGTGTGCTGATGGCCTTCATTTCACATCAGTCTGAGACACTTGAAATTTATTTGACAGGAGGATTTGGCCTGCATTTCAGTATTGAAAAAAACTTGTTGAACAAGACTGTATAGGGACATTTTAGAGACAGTATTTTAATTTTTTTTTTTTTTATATATGCATTATCCACTTCAGCATTAGAGCAATTTTCAAATTTTTTTTTTCCAGGAACAGGAGGTGTTGCATTGTGTAAACCCAGGCGCCAGGACAAAGTTTTAGTCACCATGGCGACCTGGCATCTGGGAATTGTTGAGCCCTGCCTTAAAATTGATATGAAAGGCAAATAAAAGAAAAAAAATAACAAACCTGTTATACACCTGCTCTGTGCAGTGGTTTTGCACAGAGCGACCACTGTTCTTCTCTTCTCGGGTCCCCTAACAGCAATCCTAGCGCAAGCAATTTGCTATGGGGACACCCACGCAGGCTCGCTCCCAAGCTGCTGCTCTGCGTGTCCATTTACGCACAAATGTGCAGCTCAGCCCTGCCCACGCTTTCCCTTATTGGCTCACTGGCTTGTGATTGGCAGCAGCTGGAGCTAGTGGATCCCACTGCTGTCTTAGCCAATGAGGAGAGTCCCTGGAGAGCCGATGCTCTCATGCACATCGCTGGCACAGGTAAGTATTTTGGGGGCTGCTGCACACAGAAGGATTTTTACCTTCAATCTTAAAATGCTTGAAGGTAAAACAAAAACCTTGAGCCTTTACAACCACTTTAAGCCATTTGATTAAAATTTTAAGGCAAGAAACTTGTATTTACAGAGGCAAAAGTCTGCAACAATAGTACAGGTTTCCTTTTAAAGTGTATTTTAACCAAAGCCACTAACTTCTATTATTTGCTATCTTTTGGTCTGCTAAATATACCATCAAACGTGTTTTTTATTATATCTGTATGAGAATGAGGAGGGGTCTTTTGTTCTTTGTATTGAAATGAAGTAGGCACAGTTGACCCCATACACTTGGGTATTTGAATCCAAGTATATTGAAGAAAATAGGACACCATCTGGGGAATTCATTAAAATTATCAGACCCCGTTTAGAATCCTGTCAGAGCACAGCACCAGAAGCCTCAGGTGTTTGTGCCCAATTCATGTATTTCTCAGTGCCCAAATGGAGGACAGCGTATCCATACCGGATACTCCTTCCTCTGTGCATTCCCTCCCTCTCTGAAGATCACTCTATAGAAAGCATTTGATTAGCAGTGAGGAGGCATTGTATAGCCTCCTCACTGCCTATTTTAACCTCCTAAATGCTGGGCTACCTCACCACAGCCATATGCGTTGTGTGTAGTTGCCCTGCAGCAGTAGCATGGAATCATTCATTTAAGTGTTATGGGATATAATTCCTACTGCAGCCATCAAGCAAAGCATCATGGTTCTGTGGTGTACAGCCCCTGCCACTGCCTTCCCAGCTATAGGGAGAGCAGTTGGAGGGGGTAAAAGCGTGGTCCAACTGCAGGGATTTTCTGCCCCCAACTACAAGTGTAAACAAGCCCTTCAGGTACAGAAGTGCTCAAAGGGAGTGCACTTCTGTTTTTAGTCTAAGGCCCAGAGTTTGTGGGCTGAAAAGTGTCAGTCTTTTCACGGGCTGGGTTAATTTTTTTTTTTTTTTTTTTTTTTTTTTTTTTTTTTGTGCCTTAATGGTTTCTGAATAAAAAAAATATTTTTTTTCATACAGTGTTAGTGCTGGACTTGCATTAAAAATTAGGGTCTATGCTGTTTAATATCAAGCAATATATAGTCCCTGCACATGCTCAGTTGCTCTCTATTTTTAGGCACTGTGCCAAATTTGTAGTGGCTGGTCTGCTGACAACCTAAAGATTTAATGCTGCTCAGGGCTCTGGGCTTCAGCAAAAAGGCAGCCTCTGGCAAAAAAACAGGAACAATGCTGGAGGCAATTTACGGCACACGCTAATTTTGGTAGGGGAATTATCAATGTGGAATGTGTGTTTCTTGTGAAAGAACATTATTTTTTTTATTACGTTATGGATACACTTCCACTTTAAGGTGGCCTCTTACACCCCTCTGCATTTATTGGGGAGCAACATAGCCACTCTTGGACAGCAGCATTGTTAATCAGTGGAGATGGTGGTGTTAGATGGACTAGTAGATTTAGATGAACTTTATATAAGTGACCAACAATTTAAAGCCAAACTCCAGCTAACTCTTTGTAAGCAGTTACAGCAGCTTTTTTTTTTTTTTTTTTCCTTTTTGGGAAAAAGGTTTTACTGAAGTCAATCACAGCTAATGATTGTAAGTACCCCTGTCAGTGTTAAATGGTTTGTCTCAGCTCTCTGACAGTTTTGCTAGAAATCTTGGCTTGTTAAAATGGAACTGAAGTCGGTGAAAGGAATGATTTTCTTTTCCCCTCAGAGACCCCCGGTCTGTGGAGAGATTCCTGGTTTATCAGCAGAATTCTGGGAACACCCCTTGAACACGGAAATCACGACAGCTTATGTTCAGAGATGTTCAAAGTTTATTAGACATTAATAAGATTATATAGACTACAGATAATCATAAGGGAGGGGGGGGAGCGAGTTTCAAAACTGTAACTTGTAACTTTCCATCATGAGCTAACTACATGAAACATAACATATACATTTCTTGGTACAAATTATTTTGGCTAAATTTCTGGGAAAACAGCCAGACAAAGACATTGTCAGGGTCGTGTTAGCTTCTGTTGATACATCCTTGAACAACCAAAAACAGTTTCATTAAACTTCTAATATCTCTACAAAAAGCTAACTTAATACTTAATACTTAAAATGGCGTACATAATACGCAATAATTATCTTGGCTCCAAAGGTCCAGAACCACCTGTGAGGTCTCTGGACAGCATCTCCTCCTCCATGGTTTCCTCTGGATGCCAGTCTTTGGCCATCTAGATTTGTCAACGCAAGGTGACATAACTCCTGCACATGTGCCGGAATTCAGTCATCGCAGCACACAGGCACAGTGCCGGAACCTTTACTGAGTGGCACTCTCAGCTTTTCCTCCTCTCCGATTGCCCCCATAGCAAGCTGTGTGCTATGGGGGCACCTGTGCAGGCATGCCTCCAAGCCGGGTTCTGTGTATCCATAGACACATACAGCATGGGTTGGCCACTCCCCCTGCTTCCCTTCTCACAGGATTTGACTGACAGCAGCATGGACCAATGGCCTTTTGTTGCTCCTGTGACAACAAAGAGAAAACATCACTGCTGGATCGAGAGAGAGCTTTCTCTGGTAAGTGGTGTATGGGTGGAGGGGTTGGTAGAACTAGTAGTGAGACTTTTTTTTTAACTTATTTATTACAGGTACCTATATACAGGTACAATTTATGCAATGCTTTTACATGTAGATGTACATTCACATCAGTCCTTAACCTTCAAGGAGCTTACAGTCTAAGGTCTCTAATTCACATTCATACATACACATACTAGGGCCAATTTAGACAGGAGCCAATTAACCTACCAGCATGTCTTTGGAGTGTGGGAGGAAACCAGAGAAAGCCAACGCAGGCACGGGGGGGGCATGCAAACTTCACGCAGGTAGTACCACGGTTAGAGTTCGAACAGATGACCCTAGTGCTGCCAGGCGGAAGTGCTAACCTCTTTAAAAATTAATGTAAATATTGATTTGACTTTAGATCCACTTTAGGTTTACATAGCGTTGGTGGAGATCTCACTAGTTACCTGATGTACTAGGAATATTCGTTCATTTTGCTGACTGCAGTATTCTGCCTGTTGTATGGACAGGGCCTTGTTAGGGTTTGTGTAGAGGATGTTATGAAGAGAATTGGGTGACAAATTCAGCACTGGTAATCCTGTGTAACAGCCTGACTTGTGTTTACACAGCTGTAGGATATTATGCTGATAGCAATCATTTCCTGATCTCTTTACAAGCCTGAGGCTACCAGTTTCTCTACAGTAGCTTTTTGTTTGTGTCTTCCTGTCAGAAATTTTATTTAACTATTTAACAAAGATAGTGTATAGGAGGTTGAAGGGCATTTGTGGTCTGCATCCTCACATTTACTTGAGTTTGCAATATTGTATTGTTTTCCTTTTTTTCATTTACGTTTTCGTGTCCAGATGTTTCAAGTTGTGCTTCTATATGTTTTTCCTGTTAAAGTATGTACTGTAAATAAGATTCATATTTTCTTCATGTACAGTGCTTGTAAAATTAAAGCCCTGTCCTTGCTGAATTGCCTCAGAAATTGGTGATGGATGCATATGCAGGCCAGATGTGTAAGGTAGCTGTGGCCTGCTCAGAATATAGCCAGGGGTTTTGTTGGGTGAGCTAGTGTTTGAGAACACAGCCTGGAGATTTGTGAGAAGCTCGTTTTAGAGAGCCACAAGCTGCTTTGCGGGACATTTATGAAGCAATTTAGGAACGCAAAGCATATGTAACAGTTTGTATGTGTATTTGGGACCCCTGTGAATGAAATCCCAGACAGCAAACTGAGACAGATTTGTATAGGTCTGTGACAGATTTAGCACTGAATGAGACATACCCCCAGACAGGCACACAGGGTCAGGGGCAGGTTTTATTCTGTTGCAGTTGCTCGTTTGAACCTATAATTGAACAATATAATGGGAGACAATACAGCAACAATACAGTTCAATACAAGAGGGCCAGGAGGGCCCTGCTCCTTGGAGCTTACAATCTAAGAGGGAGGGGCTAGTGGTACAAAAGGTAATAACTGTGGGGATGGACTGGTAGGAGGAGTAGAAGATTCCATTATTAGCTGAGGGCAGAATAGGCTTCCCTGAAGAGATAGGTTTTCAGAGATTGCCTAAAAGTGAGCAGAGTAGGCAATAGTCTGATAAATTGGGGTAGAGAGTTCCAGAGGATGGAGACGAGCATGGGAGGAGGAGACAAGGGAGTAAGAGAGAAGGAGGTCATGCGAG